GGGGGCAACAACATGGCTTCACAAAAGACACTGAGCGAAAGCGAGAATGAAATAGAGAGAGAGAGAGAGAGAGAGTGAAAGAAAGAGAGATGGAAAGGTGAAGTGAAATATTGGTGGAGGCTGTGTTAAGTGAATACACAAAGAAAGAAAGAAAGAAAGAAAGAAAGAAAGAAAGAAAGAAAGAAAGAATTGAAAAAATAGAGTTTAAAAAGAAGGAATGAACAAGAGATATGTAAATAAAAAGGAGAGTAATGTAAGCAAGCAAAGAAAGAAAGAAAGAAAGAAAGAAAGAAAGAAAGAAAGAAAGAATGAACGAATGAATGAATGAAAGATATATTGGAATAAAAGAAAGAAAGAAAGAAAGAAAGAAAGAAAAGACAAATGGAAAATGAAAGAAATAGCGGAATGAAAAGAAAAAATATAGGAATAAAAGAGAAAGAATGCAAATTTAAAACAAAACGGAAAGAAACAAACAAACAAAGAATACGGGAATAAAAAAAGAAAAAAAAAGAAAGAAAGAAATATCGGAAGAAAAGGAAGAAAGAAACATAGAAATAGAAGAAAGAAAGAAAAAGAAAATATAGGAATAAAAGAAAATAAAGAAAGAAAAGAAATAAAGAAAGAAGAAAGAAAGAAAGAAATATAGGAATAAAAGAAAGAATGGTTTCCAACAGGGTCAAAAGAAATATGAAATATAAAGAAACAATGGAAAACAATTGGAAGGAAAAAAATCAAGGAAAGAATAAAAGGAAAACATATGTTGCTATTCAATACGCAACTGGTAAAATATTTCACTTTTTTTTTAACCGGAGATGAAGGACTCAAAATGGCAATTTCTACCCCACCACACAGACATATACACACACACACAAAAAGAGGAAGATTGTGCAAGAGTGAAGAGCCAAGATATTGAATCGAAAAGAATGGTAGATGCAGCCTCGAAAGATTTTGAGAATACAATATCCCCTTCTTGGCAGGAATCACACCGAGGAGTATGATTGAAAAAAAAAAAAATATCCCCCAAACTAAAAAAAAAAAAAAAAATGGTTCGAAGAGACAAAAAAAAAAAAAAAACGATTGTAAAAGGAAGAATAATGGAATACAACACAGGGGGAGAAAACGACTAGAAAAAATGTTGAATGCAAAAAAAATGAAGGACTATTGTGAGCGATTATTGGCCTTGTGCCAAACTCATCTAAACAGAATAATCGATATTGTGTTTGTGGGGGGATATGAACTACGAGTGAAAGCTGAATATTGAAAGAAGGAAGGAAAGATTAAGGTGGAAATGATTAGGGAAGAAAAAAGAAGGAGAAGTGTAATCGTTTTATATTAAGGGGGGGGAGTTAATTAAGTGGCAATATACCTGAGGCTCTGTATGGGAGTTTTGAAAAGATTCTACAAGTTGAAAAAATGTTTTATGTTAAAAGAAAATGGCTGCAAAGAAAAAAAAAGAAAGTGCGTCATATGTATCAATTGTTATCGAAAGGTAGAAAAAAGAAAAATTGATAAATAAATAGGAAAAAAATCGATAGATAGATAGATAGATATAAATAGGTTGAAATAGATAGATAGATAGATAGATAGATAGATATGAATAGGTTGAGATAGATAGATAGATAGATAGATAGATAGATAGATAGATAGATAGATATGGATAGGTTGAGATAGATAGGTGGATAGATAGATATGAATAGGTTGAGATAGATAGATAGATAGATAGATAGATAGATAGATAGATAGATAGATATGAATAGGTTGAGATAGATGGATAGATAGATATGAATAGGTTGATAGATAGATAGATAGATAGATAGATAGATAGATAGATAGATAGATAGATAGATATGAATAAACTCAGATAGATAGATAGATAGATAGATAGATAGATAGATATGAATGGGTTGAGATGAAATCATTATTATTCTTTACTGTAATATAGATTTACAAGATGTGGTCGATTGTGGCTCTCCACAGCTGCGTTCATACCTTCACAACTTCATTAAATGCTCATTTTTCATCAGTCTTTGTCTTTATAGCACCTGTTATGCTATCCATTCATTCAAAAATACTCAAGTAGTTAACTCACTGTTTTCTCTGCTTTATTTCCTTCCATTATATCCCGAGAATGTTAAATTCTCCATGCCTTCTTACCTCGTTATGTTTTTTTTTGTTTTTGTTTTTTTTTTGTTTTTTGTCATATCAGTTGGCTTTTCCCAAATATCAGCAGCGGTGATTGTAATTTCCAATTTAACACTTTATTTCGTCCACCGGAGTAGATTGCTCTAGTTCCACGTGCCATGCTTCTTCAGTTATCTCCCTTTAAATCAACTGTTCAAGACTTTGTTCACCTTGAGGACACATGGCTTAGTAGATAAAAGCGTTGATTGAATCTAGTGACTTGACCCAAAAAGTTGTGAGATGAGTACCTGGCAATCTTGGAGATCTGAGTTAAAGGGGGATAACTGTAACATCCGGAAGAGACATGGCACGTGGAACTAGAACAATATACCCCGGTAAACGAAATCAGGAGCGGTTTCCGTTTGATTGCTGTTTACTATAACCACCCTCCTTAGGCACGTGTCCCGCCCATCTCTGCCGTTGCAAGTTTCTTTTTTATCTGTGAAGCGATCGTCCAACATTAACTGCCATATAAGACATTATATATTACATAACCACCTGGTACTGATTTTCTAGGGATGTTTTCACATCTCTTAATACTTGGATTCTGAATGTTCACTTTGTCTATTTCACATTAGTTCGTGTGTAGTGTATATCATTTTCCGTCTTTGTCACATTCTATGCTCCCACGTATGGGAAAACTTTGTTAACGGGTAATTGTAATTGGCGCCACTGTAACTTGACGTCATGGAAAAGAAGAGACTTGTCTCAATTGTGCTCTAACATCTGTTATATTAATATCAACAGCGACTAGACTGCTAATGAGAGGTTGATGTATTAGGTTGGTGCAAAAATAATGACGTAATAATGTCGTTTTTTGACGTATTTTTTAATGTCAAAAACGACATTATTACGTTATTATTTTTGCACCAACCTAATATATTCAATGTGTTCAAACAGAGCTTAATTTTTCTCTTTCTGTGTCTGAAGCCGAATAACCAGATCAGGACCAATAATACTGCAGGTTCGTTTTTGAATTTTATCAAGAATCTCTAATATTCGAAGTATGGACTTATAGCTATGTAAGATTGATTATGGAGAGAAGAATTGCCTAGTACTGCACAGTGAATGAACATTCTTAGGAGTAGACTTAGCAATAGATTTAATATACTCTTTCCACTTCATGTCAGCCAAGAATGTGTCGTTATCGTTGGGTAGTGAGTTAATATTTTCTATATATCTATTCTTGTTCAAGATCGCAATGTATTTATTTAGTGTATTTATGTGTCTCAGTGGTAATGTATTTTCATTGTTGGTTTCTATAGTGGCAGTCGTTATGCCTTGAATGAAATCTTTAGTGAAATCGGAGACTTTTCGCTTATGATGTTTTTTAATATAGTGTCTCTATTAACTCACTTTTTAGTGATACTGACACACAGGAAAAAATAAACGACCAAAAAATAACTGCCACAGAACAATTAGCAAAGAAATAAGGATACTAATTAAAAAGGAAAACAAATCGTGATATAGACACCTAGAATATCACCCTAGAACACCCAAACATTACGGTCTCCCTAAAACCCACAAAACTGGTATCCCAATGTGCCTCATTATATCAGGAATAGACAGCGAACCAATAAGCTAGCGAAATCAATATCATAATTTCAAACCCCTCTCCTTGGAACAATCATTCCATCTCATATAAAGAACTCAGGCAGCATAGTTGAAAAACTCAAGGAAATGTACCTGAGCGACAAAGGCATGACCAATCTCGATATAAAATCCCTCTACACCTGTTATACCTGACGTACCTATTCTATTAATAATAGACTCCCCCACAAATAATAAGTAGTAGTAGTAGTAGCGGTCGCCAGCGGGGGCTCAGTGGTGTTGAGTGAGTCAGTCGATGTCGGACATTGAAGTATCAACCCTCACAACTAGATTGCTGCGTCATTAACTCTTATTTCAAGTTCCGCACATTTTTGTACGTCGAACCTAATTTAGGACGACTTATTGAAATACAAGCCTCCACTTTGAAAACTACTCTACAACAACACCAAAGTCCCAGTTGAAATAATGCCTAAATCTCCTAAAAAAAGCATCTAACACAATCAATGATAAATCTCTCTCTACTAACAGCTAAAATAAAAAATCTGCCGTCTCGTCACCAATCAATGCTATTTCACATTTAATAATGATTGTTACAAACAAAAATTTGGATTACCAAAAGGGTCGCCTCTCAGTGGAGTGATGGCATGCATCTTCTTAGAATGTCTCGAATCCTGACCTTTCCAGTATATTTTACCCAAACAATCAGCATACAACCGTTATATTGATAATGCTCGACTTATATATCCTCGTGATACTGATTTCCTTGACATACTAGATCAACAAAACAAAGTCGAACACACAATAGAATTTTCATACGAAATAGAAGAACACAATACCTTACCCTTTTTAGATATCAAGCTACACCGCGTTAACAACCATTCAAAACTTGGTGTCCACCAGAAATCAACCAAAAAAAAAAAGACCTGATAAATTCCTATTCCGATCATAACGACAAAATAAAATCTGGCATAATCAATGGATTCTATCTAAGAGCACTAAAAATGTGCAGCTCGGATTATTTACACGAAGAGGAGAAATATATTGAACACACTTTCTAACTTCTCCAGTACACTAATTATTTTATATTCAATTCGAAACAAAAGGCCCATAAAATATACCAAAACAAAAAGAAAATCGCCACTTCTGAGAAACCCAATGAATCAAAAAATATATTACCGTGCCTACAATCGAAAAGAATCTAAACTCAGCATAAAAGTCTTTAAACTACATCCAAAACAATAAAAGACTTAGTACTAAACAAAACAATAAAGTAAAACTTGAAGGAGGAGTTTACTTCATCACCTGTCATAATTGTAACTAAAAATACATAGGAAAAACCTCAAGGAATCAAAATAAAAGATCATATGAACACAAAAGGGACATTTTGCAAAATGCTTTGGGTGCCAACCGTAACGACACCCATAACAATTTTGACATAAAAAATTTCAGTATGATCAAAGGACAAAATAATCCACTAGGGTGTAAATGTCTAGAGAGTACTTTAATCGCAAGGTCATTTACAATAAATTTACGCCCTGCGCTTCAACAACATTTCACCATTCCTGACAGATTTTCTAATATCACAGCCTAGAATACTTACTTGCAAAAGTGATGGAAAGTAAAAGAAAAAAGATTCTAAGTTAATACGGCTTGATAAAAAAAAGTCTAAAATCCTCAGCACTCTTCTGACTTGTGCATGTGCTGTCCTACAAACATAAACAAAATTTAGTCCGATTAAGTCATGAAAGATGAAACGGGTCACAAGTAAATTTCTTCCACTTGGTGAAACAATTACACAATACTCTATTTATATTATTCGGACTAGTGTCCTCATCTTTGTCGCCATATTTATCACAACGTTTCGGCCGTTGTACGCTCCGGCTTTCTTCAGATGGTTGGAATGTCGAACTGAACCCTTTATTTCACTCACTGGGGTAGACTGTTCTAGTTCCACGGGCCATGTTTAATGGATGTCAGTTATCACTTATCTCCTGTTAATTTTCCCTCTGAAAGTTCTCCACTGCCTTAGTGTGAGTATTGAACTCACACTCTTTGGGGCCTGTCACTGGATCTAACCAACGATTTTATCCACTGTGCCATGTGTCCACAAGGACAGTGGATAATGGCGTTAGTCAGTGTGTGTGTGTGTGTGTGTGTGTGTGCGCGCGGGTGTGTCACATCTTCCTTTATCTGTTGCTTTTTTGTACCTGTTTGACACAGACACACATATATATGTGTGTGTGTGCCTGTGTGTGCCTGTGTGTTTGTGTGTATATATATGTGTGTGTGTATGTCTGTGTGTGTATATATATGTCTGTGTGTGTCTGCCTGTGTCTGTGTGTGTCTGCCTGTGTCTGTGTATGTGTCTGTGTGTATGTATGTGTGTGTCTGTATATATATATATATATATATATATATATATATATATATATGTATGTATGTATGTATGTGTGTGTGTGTGTGTATATATATATATATATATATATATATATATATATATATATATATATATGTATGTGTGTGTGTGTGTCTGTGTCAGTGTCTGAGTGTGGTACGGCAAAAGTAGCGACCTTTTTTCCGGGCTGGGGGAGTTAGGACGATGTAGCAATTCAGTGACCATCGTGATCAGCAGATTTAACACCAGACTTTCTCTTGTGGAATGTACTGAAAGATCTCGTTTACGGTATCAAACTGAAAGCAATTCCTGAATTAAAATAGGCAATTTTTGAAAAGTTTTATGAAATTAATATAGAAATGTATGAATGGTTCGTAGAAGTGTTGCTGATAGGATTAAGAGTTGCATTGAACATGAAGGGGAGCATTTTGAAAATGTTAAATAGTTTGTTAATCATAAAAAAATTACGTTTTGATGCAACAATACTTTTTTTAAAATATTTTACTTTATTTTTGTTTAGTAAAAGTTGATAAAAAAGAAGAATTTAAAAGGAAAGAAGTATGACATATATAAAAGCCCTGGACATTGCGTTCAAACATGAAACAGGTGGCCCCTCTCAATACTCACCCCAGTTTCCATATATATATATATATATATATATATATATATGTGTGTGTGTGTGTGTGTGTGTGTGTGTGTGTGTGTGAAAAGTGTATATAAATATAAATAAATATATATATGCATAATTATTTATATATTATATGCGCGGTACTTATTAGAAAGCGCTCAATTTGTCTGATGATCGCTAAAGCGTGAAACCAACCAAATATATATATATATATATATTAAAATACATTGTAAATAAACATTGGGGTTAGATTTTTTAAATTGTTGTTTTATCCCCCTCCTCCAAAAGACAAAGGTTCTACGCATGGTGACTAGATAGGACTTCATAGAGACTTGAGCTATTATGGTGGTTGTAATAAAAACGGTAAGAATGTGTTGTTTTAATGTAAGGAATTCTGTGCTATGCTTGGGTAAGTAATTGAGGCTAGCTAAGTTTAAGGTCAGTCAGACTGAAAACCAGCCTCCCCCATCACCCTTTTATTTTTGAACCACATTTTTGCATCTTTACAAAATAAATAAATATTTGATTTACTTAAGTCTTTCCGTTCTGTATTTGAGTATTTAATAAACCTTTTCTCATGTGTTTTCCTCTATATAGTCTTCTGTTACTTCGATACTCTCTCGAACTGTGGCCTTCCTAATTCTTGGCTATTTTAAACAAAAACAATATTGCAACTGATTTGCAAAGGTTAAGATTGTAGTAGTCGGAGAAACATCCTCGTTTTTTACAATGATGTTCACTCTGCACAAGGCTCAAGAGCAACTCCAAGTAGTGGGTTACAGAGTAAGATACACAGGTCATGCGGCTATGTGGGGAAGACAAATGTTGACACTAGATTGTTTTGTAGAGTAAGACTCATACTGCGACTATGGACTGCTCCTACTTGCCACATTGGAGAAGGTTTTGAGTAGTATTTGATGGACTCAAGTTTTTTCCGTCCTATCTACGAGTATTTAATAAACTTTTTCTTATGTGTTTTCCTCTACCTAGACTTATGTTCCTTCCATACTCTCTCTTAACTACGGCTTTCCTAATTCTTGGCTATTTTGAACAAAGACGATGTGGCAACAGATTTGAAAAAGATAAGATTGTAGTAATCGTGGAAGCATCAAAGATTTTTACACTGGTGTTCCCCCTGGACAAGGCTCCAGAGCAACTCCAGGTAATGGTTTACAGAGTAAGATGAACAGTTTATTTGGATATATGGGGGATGTAAAGGTTGACCCTAGATTGTTTTGTAAATTATACCTACTACTATGACAATGGACTATTCCTACTTATAAATATGGCAAGTAGCCACATTAGAGGAGGTTTTGTGTAGTATTTGATTGACTCAAGTCTTTCTATTCTATGTATGATTATTTAATAAACCTCTTCTTCTGTGTTTTCTTCTACCTAGTTTTCTGTTTCTACGATACTCTTTCTAACTGTGGCATTCTTAATTCTCGGATATTTTGAACAGACAACATTACAACAGTGATTTTGTCTAGTTTAATTTTTTTATAAATTCCTCGTAAAATCTATCCAATCAAAAGGGAATGAACAATTTACCTTAATAATAGATGTAGCACTCCAATAAATGCCACTGACGTTTGTACTTTAAAAAATATATAGGATTATCAATCAACAAGAATTATACTTTTTGAAAAAAGATCTCTTGTGCAAATTATATTATGCTTTAATTAAACAACTCAGCTAACAGAGAACGTGCTTGAAACGTTTCATATACATTGTATTCTGGTTGTAGCAATGTTACTGTTACATTATCATCAACTATGTTCTTGACCCCGAACTAATTACTCATCTCCAACATTTCCCTGGTAACGCTACGAAATGCTGTAGCCGAAAAATCCCCACGTTGTTCAAATAATACAAGAATACAATTTCTTCATTTAACAATATATTTAAAAGGTATAAAATTTCTCTTAGTGTTTATTTTAAAATTGAGAACCAATAATTTGGATGATGAAAGCACATTCAAGTATTTTCCTTGGATTTATTCTTCATTGCCTGATAATCTAACGTTACAAGGCAACGTATTTGCAAAGTTCCAACGTAAAGCTGCGGGCACGTTGTGGGATGTCTACAAATGAACGTGTTTGCAACTTCTACGTAATGTTAGTACAAAGCAACGTTATTTTGATAGCTGGGTAATAGAAATTGTATAGGGAGTACCAAAAGTCACGCAACAATTGGCAGAAAATGTACACTTGTAAAATAGCAACCAGGGAAAATGTGCATGACATCATCTTCCATAATTCGACCAATAAAATGTCTTAATAATATATTGTCACATACAGAAACATGATTTCATTTCGTAAATAAATATAAAATTTACAAGGTTATCAATGGTAACGTGACTTTTGGAACACTCACCCTGTGCTGACTAGTGCTGACTGTAAATCATGACCTTATAATCTCTTTCATACTCCCATTCCTTCTCTTTCTCTATACTTTCTCTCCCTCTACATCTATTTTGTACCTCTTCTCCCTCTTTCTCACTATCTCTCTATTTCCTCTCTCTCTATCTCTCACTATCTCTTTGATCCTTCTCTTTATTTCTCTCTCTCTCCTTTTTCTCACCCTATCTCTCTATCTCTCTCTCGTGATCCCTCCTCTATCTCTTCAACCCCTCTCTCTCTCTCTCCTCTCCCTACCTCCCTCCTTCTTCTCTTTCATTTCCTTTCTCTTTTTCTCTTCAACCTCCCTCTCCCCTACCCCCCTCTCTTTCTCCTCTTTTTTCTCTCTCAACCTCCCTCTCTCCCTAACCCCTCTCCTCTTCTCTTCTCTTTTTCTGTTTCTTCCCCTAACCTCCTCTCCCCCCTCTCTCTTCCTCCCTTTCCCCTCTCTCTCTCTCCCTTCTTCTCTCGTATCTCTTCATCCCTCCCCTCTCTTTCCCCTCTCTCTCACTTCTCTCTCTCTTCTCTTTATTTCTGCTCCTTCTCCCTCTCTCTCTACCTCCCCCTCTCTCTCTCTCTCTCTCTCCTCTCGTGATCCCTTCTTCTTCTCTTTCTATCTCTTCCACCTCCCTCTCTATCCTCTCTCTATTTTCCCCCTCTCTCTCTCTCTCACTCTCGTGATCCCTTCTCTTTTATTTCTATCTTCAACCTCTCTTCAACCTCCTCTCTCTCCCTCTTTATTTCTATCCTCTTCACCTCCCTCTCTCCTCTCCCCCCTCTCTATTTCCCCTCTCTCTCTCTCTCTCACTCCTCCCTCCCTCTTTATTTCTATCTCTTCAACCTCCCTCTCTCTCCCTACCTCCCTCTCTCCCCCTCTCTCCTCTCTCTATTTCCCCTCTCTTTATTTCTTCTTTCACTCCTCTCTCTCCCTATCCCTTCTCTTTTCCCCCTTTCTATCTCTTCTCGTGACCTCCCCTCTTTACCCCCCCTCTCTCTCCTCCCTCCCTTTCTCCCCCCCCTCTCTCTCTCTCTCACTCTCTTTGATCCTTCCCTCCCTACCTCTCTTTATTTCCCCTCTCTCCTGCTCTCCTCTCGTGACCTCCCTCTTTATTTCTATCTCTTCAACCTCCCTCTCTCTCTCCCTACCTCCCTCTCTCTATTTCCCCCTCTCTCTCTCTCTCACTCTCGTGATCCCTTCTCCTCTTTATTTCTATCTCTTCAACCTCCCTCTCTCCCTACCTCCCTCTCTCTATTTCCCTCTCTCTCTCACTCTCGTGATCCTCCTCCTCTTTATCCTTCTTCTCTTCCCTACCTCCCTCTCTATTTCTCTCTCTCTTCAACCTCCCTCTCTCTATCTCTTCCCCCCTCTCTCCCTACCCCTCCTCTTCAACTCCCTCTCTCGTGATCCCTTCTTCCCTCTTTTTATTTCTATCTCTTCAACCTCTCCCCCCCTCTCTCTCCCATTTTCCCTTCTCTCTTATTTCCCCCCTCTCTCTCTCTCCCCCCCTCCTCTCTCTCAGTCTCGTGATCCCCTTCTCCTCCCTCTCTCTCCCTTCCTCCCTTCTCTCTCTCTCATCCCTTCTCTTTATTTCTGTCTCTTCAACCTCCTCTCTCTCTACCTCCCCTCTCTCCCTCTCTCTCCCTCTCCTTTCGCGCCCCTATCTCTCTTTCTCTCCCTCTCTCCCTTTACCTCTCTCTCCTTCCCCCTCTCTCTCTTTTTCGTGATCCCTTCTCTTTTTTTCTATCTCTTCAACCTCCCTCTCTCTCTACCTCCCTCTCTCTCTCGTGATCCCTTCTTCTCTTTATTTCTATCTCTTCAACCTCCTCTCTCCCCTCCTCCCCTCTCTCTCTCCCTTCTCCCTTTTCTATCTCTTCAACCTCCCTCTCTCCCTATCCCTCTCTCTCTCTTTCGTTTCTTCTCTTTATTTCTTCAACCTCCTCTCTCTCTTTCCCCTCTCTCCTCTCCCTCTCTTCTCCTCCTCTATCTCTTCAACCTCCCTCTCTCTATTTCCCCTCTCTCTCTCCTCTCTCTCTATCTCTTCAACCTCCCTCCCCTCCCTTTATTTCTCTCATCTCTCTCTCTCTCTCGTGATCCTTCCCCCTCTCTCCCTCCCTCCCTCTCTCTATTTTCCCCTCTCTCTCTCTCTCTCTCTGATCCTCCTCCTCTTTATTTCCTCTTCCCCCCCTCTTTCTATTTCTCTCTCTTCAATCCTCCCTCTTTATTTCTCTCTTCAACCTCCCTCTCTCCCTCCTCTCTCTATTTCCCCTCTCTCTCTCTCACTCTCGTGATCCCTTCCTCTCTTTATTTCTATCTCTTCAACCTCCCTCTCTCTCCCTACCTCCCTCTCTCTATTTCCCCTCTCTCTCTCTCTCTCGTGATCCCTCCTCCTCTTTATTTCTATCTCTTCAACCACAATCTCTTTTATTCTATCACCCTCTTTATATTCTTTTTTGATTATCCCTCTCTCTCTCTTCCATTTTGGCCTTTTTTTGTGTTGTTTTCTTCTTTTCTTCTTTCATTCCTTCTCTCTTCCTTTTTCTCCCTCTCAAATTTCTATTTAAAGCCTTTTAACCTCATCGTCTCTTAATTTCATCTGACTTTTTTACGTTGCTTGACAACAAGACATTTCCCGAAAACCGGAAGTAGGTAGATGGTATGCCGATATTTCTTGGGTTTCCACAATCGGTAATTTAATCCAATGGTGTTCCAAAAGTCACGCAACAACTGGCATAAAACGTACACTTGTGAAATAGCAACCAGGCAAAATTTGCATGACATCAGCTTCCATAATTCGACCAATACAACTTTTTAATAATATATTGTCACAAAGAGAAACATGATTCCATTTGGAAAATAAATATAAAATATACATGATTATCAATGGTAATGCGACTTTTGGAACACTCTGTAGATGTCTACTTAGGTATCACAGTTTAGAAACATGCCGATATGAACCAAGAAATAGTCTGTTGAATTGGTAAAGTGACTACAATACTCACAAAGATCTGGAAAATCAGGAAGTTCTTCTTGAAAAGGAAAATTCATTTTTACAGTTGCAACTAAAGTCCTTTCCACCTTCCTGAATGTCAATGCAACATGGCGTCTGAAAACGAGTTGGAAATGGGCTGTGTTCAAAACAGGAGGGTTCTAGTTTTCTAGATTTTTGGTGGTTCTCCCATAATGGAAAAAAAGATTCTCGAGAAAACATCAAATTAGTGAATAAGAACTAGAGAGGCCTTAGGTTGCCGGTTGTGGACGGATGAAACTTGAGAGCTTTGATGCCTTCAAGCGTCAGACGTCACAAGAAATATTATTTAAATGGCCAATTCTGACAAAATAAAATATAATAATACATCGACGAAGATATAGGTCCACCGCAGCTGAGGTTATAAATACATTGATGGCTGTATAGTATATTTCTACGCCAGTGGCTTCCCGCCTTTCTTGAGGTGAAACGCTTAAAACAAAAAGGTCAGTCCTGTTCACCATTATCCTCTATACGACTCGGGTTCTGGTTACCGCTTACCATTACACCACCCGAACAGAAAACCAAAGAAAATACGTTGAGGAGTGAATAAGTTTATGTATGTGATCTTTAGTTCTCCCAATCGCTAAATTTTAAAATATGGGAAAGGTTTTATTGAAATCCTGTCGCCCTTCAGGGGATAATACCTGTATGATATAACTGTATTTGTACGCTGTTGATGCTTTTGTATAAATCCTTTCAATCGAAGCAAGACGTCAAGGCTACAAAAATGCAAGGGTTTATTGAGGGCGAAAGACAATAGAGTAAAGAAAACAGAGGAAACAGTACCGAAGAGAAAGGGCCATAAAAACCAGGGTTCAACGAGACAAAAGATGACGATTGCATTTGAATTTAATCAGGTCCTAGTTGACATGAAAGCAAGAAGGAAACTGATAAAACGTTACTGAAGAGAATGGAAATGAAAGAAAAAATTTTTAACTACGTCAGTGAATCTATTTTCTTAGTAGCAGGCATAGCAATTGATTCGATATAACCCTTCCTATTCATATTAGTTCATTTTTCCATATCAGAATTTTAAAACAATCCAATTACTTGAACCGTTATACAAGTCTTCAACCACGTGTCGCTCATAATGATGTGTTTCTATTACTGAAACCACTGACGATCATTTAAATATCTTTCCGTCAGCCATTAAGACAAAAGAGCTGTCATAATTCAACCATCTAACAATAACGATTTATGAATATATATATATCAATAAAAGATGCTGTCAGATGTCTTTGCTAATTGATATAGATTTATATTTTGACTCAGTCAATTCGAAGTCTCTGAATACCAGCAGATTTAATTAAGGATACGATTTTTACAGACTGAGAAAGACAATCTCGCCAGATTGTTACGGATGTCTTCCTAGTATACAGAAACTCCGATAATAATAGCAACAAAGAAAAAAATTACAAGACACGGATCTTGCTATCTTAATGTTTCTTTTTTTTTTAAAACTTACTCTTTTTCTTTCTCTTTTTTTGACTTCTTTCTCTCCTTCTTTCTTTCTTTCTATCTTCTTTTTACCGAAACTCATATATCACTTCAATTATATTTCTTACCTTTATTTTATTGGTTCAGTTTTCATCACTTTCATTCCTTTATATCTCCTATTTCTCATCTGATTTCATTTCAACCATCAAGATTTATTTTCTTTCGTCAGCCATTGAGTTTTATTTTCATTTTTCAGCCATCGATTTTTTTTCAGCCATCGAGTTGTATTTTCTTTTTTTCAGCCACAGAGTTTTATTTTTTTTTTATTTTAGACATAAAGTTTTAATTTCTTCTTAGATAGTGAATATGTTATGAAGAAAAGAAAGATGCAATATAAGTAATTTTGCTTAATCATTCTTTGTCTTTTTTGATACTCGCTTTATGATTCTTTGTTTCTTTCCTTCTTTTTTTCCTTCTTTCTTTTATTCGCACCGTCTTTCACATTTCAATCATTCGTTTTCTTTCTATGTTTCCGTTGTTAGCTCTAATTTGTCTACCGACTTTCTTCTTTATTTCTTTCTTATACATATTAGCTTTGGTTTTTTCTTTCTTTCTTCAGATGATTTATTTTCTTTCTTTCTTTCTTTCTTTCTTTCTTTTTATATCTATTCATTTTATTTCCGTCTCTTGATTAATCAAATTCTTTCTTCATTCTTTTCTTTTCCTCCTTTCAATTCACTTTTTGCTGTCTGTCTTTTTCTTTCTATCTTTTACTCATTCTCTTTCTTTCACTTTTGCTCATTGATTTTCTTCATTTCTCATAACTATTCCCTTTCTTTCTCTTTTACTCATTCACTTTCTTTCTTTTACGTATCCTCTTTCTTTCTCTTTTTTCATTCATTTTCTTTCGTTCTTTTACCTATTCCCTTTCTTTCTCTTTTATTCATTCATTTTCTCTCTCTCTCTCTCTCTCTCTCTCTCTCTCTCTCTTTTACTTATTCATTTTTCTTTCTTTCTTCTCCATCCTATTTTTCTCTCGTTCTTTCCTCTACTTTCTCTTTTTCTTTCTCGTAATTATGCTCCCCCCGCTTTCTTAAACAGTTTGTTTTCTATTTCCTCCTTTTTCTTCCTTCTTTTGTTTTTTTTCATTCACCTCCTTTTCCTTCTCACTTATTTTTCATCCTCTTTCCTTTTCCTTTTATTTTTATTTTCCTTCTATGCTTCTTCTTCATTAAGATCTTGACTCTTTTCTTTTTCATTTCCTTTCTCTCTTACACTTTTTCTCTTCTTCTTTTTCTTTCGTTGGATCTCTTTCTGTTACTATTTCTCCCCCCCACCACCACCACTTCTTCCTCTACCCCTACCTGTCCTTCTCTCTAAATCCTTCATTTTTGTTTCCCTCTTTTCCTTACGCTTCATTCGTTCATTTTCTTTCTACCAATCGTTAATATTTCCCGCTCATTTTCATTCTCGTCTTCAAAACTACTTTTTTACCGTCTTTAATCTGCCCCAAATTATCCCTTTATTTAGTTGTTTATTTTATATATTTATATATTTACCTTATTTCTTTTCATGTTTTAATTTAAATTTTTTACCCACTTATTATTATTTTTTTTTTTTTCATCATCTGCGAAAGGAGAAATCTTTCATTTAGGATTAGCCCCCAGCTAGGCTTCCAAATAGAACTATTAACGTTTACTTTTTTTATTACTACTTTTCTCTGCTGCCGTCTCCTCCACCTACATTTTACCTCTCACCCTCATCCTTCGCCCTTTATAATAATTTCCTCACCCTATCCCCCATTCCCATAATCCTGTTTCAACTGCCTCCTCCTCTTTCTTTTGGGACTACTTCAACTACTACTCTTCCTCCTTCCCTAAGTTTTTATTCCAGATGTGTGGGAGTTCATGCATGCAAGCGAGGGAATTCATTTCTCTGTTATTTTCCCCTTTATTTATTTCTGTTTTCGTTTCGTTGTTATTTTTCCTCCATTTTTTTTTTTCGTTTTAGTTGGCACCACACAATATTTTTCGCGATTAGAGAAACCATTTCTCATTGAAACCATGACTCATCAGGTGAAATAGAAGAAGAAAGAGAGAGAGAGGGAAAGAGAAGTGAACCAGACACACAGGTGTCTAAGTCCGTCCAGTTAAGCTCTTGAATGTTCATCAGATTTTTATGTCTATTTAACTACCTGCATATATAATTCTTTTTTTTTTTCTATGTCGACCTCACAGCAGCATATGATCACATCAACAAAGACCTCCATTTCTTATCCATTAGAAATAGTCTTCCAATCCACTGAAGCTAATATCGGAACAGTCTCAATCTACAAAATCTTCCATATCTAACGAGAACCCCAATATGGAAACATTTCAAACCTCATTTGGAGTACAAGGAGTAAATGAGAGCGTCAGTCTATTTAATCTATCCCTAGACTATGTCCTGTACATTTACAAACAACGTCGTGTAGAGATGGGAAATGATTATTTAAGCATTCCATACAACATCCCAAACGAATCTACCAAGAGAAAAAAAAATCTTTCTCGTTCTCCCGATTTGGGATAAGAATGATTTTGAACAGAAAACCAACATCCTCTGAGGAGGGTTCCAAGAAATAAACCTTAAGATAAACCTTTTCAAAATAGAAAGTATGGTCTGGAATTGGAATGGAAGCATTTACGGCATCTATACTGAATCCAATATAAAATTTCAGGTTTTAGATTTAGTAAATACGAGCAGTAGAGCCCGGCGTTGCCCGGGGATGTAACGGTAAGAGATAGATCAAGTATCGACCATCATAAACACTGAAAAATAAAATTGACAAAAATCATTGTTTAAGGTTGACAGACACGCATGTCTTAATTATTTTTTTTTTGTTTTTTGGGGGTTTTTTTTGTTTTGTTTTTTTACGAATTGGTCAAACCCAAACTCAAACAAAAACATTGTTTTCAATCGTTATGAGTCTACCGATTGAATAGAATTTTTTTTATAAACAATTGTCTTGTAAATGGAATTTTTTTAAAGCATTCTGAATGTAAAAATAAAGAAAAAAGTGTGCAAGACAATAAGAAACACTACCTGCCAAAAAAAAAGTGGAGTTTTGTTGAAATCGGTTGAAAAATGTAGGAAATCCGATCCCATATATAAACGAACACACACACACACACACACACAAACAACCAACCAACCTGGGTTTTATAATAAGTATAACTCGATAACTCGATATTAATAAGTATAACTTGATATGAGTTGTCCCCCTTTCATTAATGCCTATTAATCGTGTTTTCAAATTGATTTCGTGCAAAAACAATTGTGTTTTTTTTTCAATTTTAGGCGCTGTCAGAACCACCGCAAGGTAATTTTACATAGTCCTGTGAAGTTTTGTTGAAATCGGTTGAAAAATGTAGGAAATCCGATCCAATATATGAACGTACACACACACACACACACGCACACACACAATCTGCGTTTTATAATAAGTAAGACTAAATACTTCAAATACCTCGGAATGTGGATCAGATATAACGAATTTGGTATAGGAGCTAAGAAAATTGAACATAGAGTAGGCTGCGCTAGAGATAGTTTCAGCCAACTCAGGGCATGTTCCTAAATATAGCCTCGTCAGATTGTATCATGTCATTCATAGCATCAAACCAGTCTAAGCTATCACCTGTATAAAATCGCATTCTCGGGTCAACGATTAAAATGTTTTTGAGCGAGTGAAGCCTGTGGATCTTTTCAATGTGTGGACTGGCGCTACAGAATCACAAAGAAGTGTACCAGATGGCAAAAAAAAAAACCTATTACTCGTGGACTTTCAAAAGCCGTAACTAGTAAAAAGGATTGCACATATAACTTGAAGAGAAAATAATGACATTATCAAGATATTGATACTCCATATTATTTCAAATAAATGGTTAGGAAGGAAACCCCCATCAATACCGGAAAGAGCGATAACAGCTACTGGACTTGAGAAACCTATGTTACTGAAAAATGGAGATAGATTTTATAAATTTCAACCGACAGTAGTACAAGTTGATCGATCAACGTATACCGACATACAGGTTTCCTCATAACGAAATGGTTAATATTGCATTTCAACAAGACCTCTGCTGGTCACCAATGACCATAGATTTGATACGACCCATTTGCTTCTCTGGAGCCGCCTGTGGCTGAATATGGCGTGTTCTTTTCGGTAGGTCCGCTTGTCCGATCACTGATTAAAAATGGATTTGAGTGAATGAAGCCTGTAGGTCTTAGCGAGGACCACACTTCTTCAAACCACGTAGATTGGTGCTATAGAATCACTAACAAAGAACTGTACCAAATAACAGAAACCACATCACTTGAGGACATTTGACAACAGCAGCGACAAAAAGCAACTCGAAGAGAGCATAATGACATAAAATGTTTAGGAATGAAACACTTCCCCATCAGTACTGGAAAGAGCAATAACAGTTAGTGGACTTTAGAAACCTATTTTCCTGAAAAATTGTTTTAAGAGAAATATAAATTTCAACCGACATAGCGAGTAATTATCAAGCCATTTGATTCCATTTTATATTTCTAATCCGAGTGGTTGGAACGTTCGCATTCTGACCATGAGACCCAGGTTCGAAACTCACCATGGTCGATTTGCCAGTAAGGAGACTTCCTGATGTTAACGGACTGGAGGGGCCGATCCCAGCGTAGAAAGTGAAAAGTGATCGAAAACCATACCATGGTCTTGTGAGTGAGATGCGTAGACGGAACCAAGTCACAAGTCATCGTGACTGAGTGATTGAGCGTGCTGGCCTTGTTATCACGGCTTGGGGATAGAAGAGGTGACTCGTGGGGGCACAATCCTTTGGGCTAAGTAAATTTGGATGAGTTACACGAAGGAATTTGTGAAGAGCAGCGATATATCGAGTCTAGTTAGTTACCTCTTCGTCAGCGAGACCCGTTAGCCCAGTGGGTATGACGCTTGCTGGTCCAGGTTCGATTCTCGGTAATGGATTCGCACTGTGCTAAAATAAGACGAAACGGCCGTCCAGTGCTTTCTGAATTCTGTTGAGGATCTTTCTAGACTCGATAAACTACTTAATTATTATATATTTATATATATAAAAGAAGCCGCAAATGATTTTGGTTATAATGTGGATTAATTTATATATTGTTGTGTATGATACACCTAATTTACATAAGCGGACTACCGACCATATAAATATGGGTTGGTACCGGAAGACATGTTTTTTTGAATCCAGAGACTCTGCCCGACTGCGATTTAGTCAACCCATTATGCAGGAACAGTCTTCCCAAGAATATACCAAACTAACTGTAAATATTGTGTACCTATTCTTTGTTTCAATACATTTTGTTAACGTACATTTTGTGTTGTATTATTCCATGCTTATTTAAGTTTCAACATATATTATACTTTATTTTCCATATTTTTTCCTGCATGTTTTTTTCCGGTCTTGTGACCTTCATCGGGCGAAGAATGGTTATTCTACATATTATTAAAAGATTTTTTTTGGTTTTTTATTGTCTTTTTGTGTAATAGGAATCGAAATTCTTTTCGGACTAGCGGAAAAATCTTTCTTGCTTAAGGTGTAATAAAACAATTAGGATTGGTCACGGAAAGGTAAAGAAATGAGTTCTTTGTTCTTATCTTTTTATGTCCTCCGTATCTTTTTAAAACTTTCTCTGTTTTGTGCTTTGTGTGTGTATGTTTTTGCCAATATATATATATATATATATATATATATATATATTTGATTTTAAAAGTTGGCGACTTTCCCCGAACATCCATGTGATCTGTACATTTCAATTGTCTCTTTCTGATTCAACATATAATGGTCCATTTCTTTACATTTTCCTTAAAACTTCCCCATTGCTCACATGCTGCACCTATGTTCACTATCCTTCTGTAGAGCCACATTTCTGTTGTTTCAAGTTTCCTCTTCCTCTGCAAGGAGATTCTGCAGTATTCACTGCTAAAGTGGAGGACTTATATTACATAACAGTATAAAGATCCTTTCTTTATATCTAACCTAAATTTTCCTTTTTCTTAATACTTTGGATAGCTTTTGGAAAGCATCTTTTGCTAATCGAAAGCGCCTTCTGATTTCATTGTCACATTTTTTAATTCGCTTTTAAAACACCTTCCGGATATTTAAATTTTCGTATTTGCTTGAGTTTTAGTATCTTCAATCCGTAATTTGCATCTTGGGTGGTTTCTCTTGCAGACAACTGTACATTCTACATGTGTACTGCACGATGTATGGCGTATGTGTCACGTGACAGTGTTCAAAGGAATTCAGTTCGTGTCTTTGCCTGAAATTTCAGCCATGATAGAATTCACTTAACTCTGTCTTTGTTTTCAAGTCGCCATACCA